AGCATTCCTGACTTTTTGAGAGCATTTTATCGTTTTCATCAACACCGTAAAAGAGGGTCGTTTAGCAAATGTCTTTGAGCGATGAGCGTTGGAAAAGAACGATATGGCACCAAATTGTAAAGGGCAAACAGGTATGGCAAGTTGATACCACATTTTACTGGATTCGCAGCATCGAAATTACGCTAAACCCGCATGAGTTTGATGAGATTTCCTTCAGTGCGTGAGTAAGAACGCCTATGGAAGAAATTTGAGCCGCCGTGTGGAGAGGTGAAAATACCGACCTGCGCAAATATTTTGAACGTTTTCGTAAAGAGGAGACACTGGCCCTTTCCATATAAGTCGGTGAGAGAGTGTGCAGATACTTAAAGTCTCAAGGCTAGGCAAGAGTGATTCATCAGAGAGGTGACCGTCGGACTCTGGCAAGCTCATCACCTGATGCTATAATAAGAAGTTGATTTCGTTGGTGACCGCAACCAGAAACCAGTTTGAGGATGGTTTGTTTGGGGAGACCGCGTGATATTATGAAACACACTATTCAAACGAGGTTGAGCAGATGTAAAGAAAATTCGGTTTCAATAAAAAACCTTGGATATCACGTAGTTGAATGTATTCATTGGTAGCAACTTCGAAAGAATCGACGTTTGCATCTTCGGAGCCCCAGACGCGCGAAGTGCATCCGAATGCGCCTAAACAGATTGATAGGGAAATTAATCCATCAGAGTTAGCCAACGAAATACTCCCAAACTCCCGGTGAGAAGATCGAGCAGCAACTTGCATCCCACAAATAGCGAATGAGTGAAGAGGTGGACTACGTCATAACTTGAACATCAAAGTATCTATTCGCGCGTCAGTATAATAGAGGCGAGAGCTCTCGAGTCATTACTATATGGATTGCCTCAGGCATTTGCGCTAAAATGCGTTCCCACGCCTTACTAGAAAGCGGACGGAGCCGCTTTCTTACCAGGAAGGTCTTTCAGGGCGTGACAAGCTTTTTGAAAACGGTCTTTTGCATGATATAGGGGCAGATGCGGGAACCACAGAACCATGTTCAATTTTTCCTGAACGGCCCTCTGAATACCAGAAAAGGAGGTCCCTAGTTCGATTCCTCGTGGTAACAAATTTTTGCATTTCGAGTTGACGTGCCAAAATTCGCGCAAAATGGAGTTAGAACCAACCAGAACAATCAGAACTCCATTTTGCGCGAATTTTGGAACGTCAACTCGAAATGCAAAAATTTGTCACCAAGAGGAATCGAACTAGGGACCCCTTTTCTGGTATTCAGAGGGCCGGAAAATTAAACATGGTTCTGTGGTCCCATCTGCCCTATCTTTGGTAAGAGTAGAGGCTCACGGAATAAGCAAATGTTACAATACGCCCAGAAAAATCATATTAGAAAGTGGTTCCCGTAACATTCAGTTTATTTCAAATTCTAATTTCAACTCACACAATTCAGTGAAAAGATAAAAAGGTCAACTGCGTAGTGATGACCGCTTCGACCAGCAGTGCCAAGCAGCAGACCGTTGCAGACAGTCACCCTACACGATATCGCATGCAGTGCAGCACATTACTGTATTTCACCCTTTCTGCGACCATAGTCCGTCAAGTGGAAGAATTTTCTGTGAGGACAGAACTGGATCCAACTGCCATTGTAATGCGATAATTCTGGTCATTGAAGCATTGCGACAAAACGCTTTGTGGTTTGGAGACAGGACATTAGTCTAGTTGCTTTCTGGCACCGACCCGAAATCTATGCGGAACCTGTGCTGATCAAACGAAGTTTCCAAGCGGCATCGCTGATCCCACCATCGCTAGGCCACCTTCGCTCCATCAAAAATACACTGTATGGTTGAAAGCCTTTTAGGCGTTTTGCGCTGAAGATGTAAAACCCAGATGCGCTTCACATGATGTCGTTGCTGAGGGTGGCCATTGATGAGGTCCCGCTCCAGTTCTTTATTGCCGAAGATGTCATCAAATTTTGTTACAACAGATCATGGATGAATGCACAAGTGGAATGTAATTCTGTCAAGAGGGTGATGGAGACAACAGCATGAAGTCGTTCATATCGATTTCGCTACAGAAACCCGTTCTACTGGGCAAGTGCGAGAACTGGCGACGCTGGCACGAAAAATAAGACTTCGAATCAGTGCCATGTCGGCTGATTGGAGAAGTTCAACACATTGCGGACCGCCCGTTGCATGAGTACCTCCGTATCTTTTTTATATTTTTCAAAAATGTATCATCATTAATCTATCAACAATTTTATCAGTGATGACACGTATGGTTTTCCGGCTCTGAAAATGAGTGCAAACAGTTCAGAGCATTGAAAAATGTCAAATAAATCAGATAAAACTATGCTCTTTCGTGTGAAATCGTGCGCCACATGGTGGCGCACGCGGTAGCAATGTGTTAAACAAAAAGGATAAAAAGGATAAAGCGTTTGCCGTTGATCAATCCCTTTTGGGATGCGGCACGCATTCTGCTTCCATTTGTACATTAGTAGTGGCGTTTGAATGCGATGTGGCCTATACAATGACTTGCGG